TCTAAGCCTTATTTAAGTAAGCGATGCTGCCCTTCTGCTGTAGTGATGGAAAAGAGAGACATTAACGGCTGGCTGGTGGCCACTGGAGTTTGAATCGACTACGGAGCGAAACGGGCACGATGAAATCATTGCAGAGGCCGTTTCACAGGGTTTTCTAGTAAAAATGTAAGAGTCACTGCCTCCCAGCACACATGGAATGTGAGAACAAAGGCATGCCTCTCCAGACCTCGTCTCTTCAGCTGGCCGGATAGAGCTGCTATCGGCATGGTATGCAGACCACAGTAGGCACTGTGTCAATATGACCATTTTCTAAGAATAGAATACGGGGTAACTTTTTGAAAGAACGACAGTCACTGAAGATTCTCTCAGCTCTAGTGTCATTCACAAACAATGAGAAAAGAACACAAAAGTCACCTTCCAATCTCCAGCTGTGCCCTAGCTGTTGGAGGACCATTGGTTTGGAATTTGGACAGGGCCTTAGTTTCTGCAGGTCTCTTCGTCCAGTCACTAGAGCGGATAGAGACAGCGTAGTGTGAGAGGGTTGAACGATCTTGGTTCCTGAATGCCTGGGTCAGAAGCCAAGCTTTGCCTCCACTCCCTTGAGAGCTGTGGGCCTTTGGGTTATTCTCAGGTCCAGGGCCTTCTCTGGAAAGCCATGTAGGTCATGTGGCACCTTGAGGATCCAGGACCAAGATCAGTTCCTGCACAATGCCATGCCATGCAAGAAGTCGTGCCAAAGCCCACCTCTATGCTAAAGCAAGAAAAGAAGTCACAGGTTAGCCAGAGAAAACTTTTCTTAATTGTGGAGACAAGACTAACATGAATGAAACAGTCTTGTAATAACACAAGACAGAATACAGCCATGTAATGGATTATGCAGAACCAACAAGAAGATTTAGAGACAAAATAGGTAAGTGTAGGTCAGAGTTATTGGGAAAGACGTGGCTTTGATGAATAGAATTAAAAAATAATTTTGTAAAAGCCAATAAAAGTCAAATCATGCTAATTTTATACAATTTCTAAAAATAGATAAAGAGAAAATACCTCCAATCCCATTACCCAGAGAATATGACAATAATTTGATGTACTCATTGTCCAGTATTTTTTCTATGTTGGTTTTTTTGTTTGTTTTTTTGGTTAACACTCAAAATTCAAGTCACACTGTAACCAGCTTCTTTCTCGTGATAGTATATGGTGCCCATCTTTCCACATTATTAAATCTTCCAACACTTCAATATAAATAGCCACCCAACATTCCGTTGTACAATGGCTTATTCTGTCAATCACTTGTTGCGCCCTCGTAATAATTTATTGTCAAGAGCACTGCTGTGGGTAGGTAGAATCTGAATGACAGAAAGGGAGCAGGCTGGCTTACAGAGAGGGTTCTGAGGAGGGGAGTCCATTTGGTGGTGCCGCTGAAGAGATCCTGGCTGGAGATGTGGGGTTGGAGGGGAGGGCGGGAGGCCCGGGAGACTGTCAGAGGTGGGAGGGTTCTCAGAAGTCATCTTACTCACCATCCCTCCTGGAGCTCCACTTCTCTTTGCAGCATCCCTGAGAGGGGGTTCCCCACTCCCCATTCCTGTGTCTGGGAACTCATTGCCACTCAAGGCCATCCATGACATCACTGCCAAGTTCACTGCTGTTAGAAAGCTCATTCTTCATGGTCTCCTGCTTCCATTCTAGGATCACATCGCTGGCCTGCTTCAGTTGCCAAATTCCTCACCATGGCCAACAGGGGTTTCCATCACTGGGCTCCAGCTGATCTCTCGAACCCCAGTGTACCACACAAACACAATGCAATCAGAACAAATACGTATTTTCTTGAGAATCTAAAATATTCCTCCTGTTGTCTCCACTCATTGATTTAGGAGGCCTGTTGAACAATAGTCTGTCTAGACCATCAGAAACGTCACACGATTGGTGTTTAGACCGGACGTGCAGTATTTTGTGACTTCCTGCCCCGTGAGCCTGGTAAATAGAGAAGTCCCGTGGGTGCTGTGCACAATATTTCACCCGTCATCAGAGCCTCCCACACACCGCCTCACCCCCCATCCCCCCAGCCCACATCCACACACACCAAAAACAAAGGAGAATAATTCTCTCTATTGAGGCACCCAGGTCTCCCCGTAGTTTGCACCTAGGATCACCTTCCGCCTGCTGGAGCAGCACGGAATCAGACTAATTCATATTCTCTCTGACGGCCTTTCACAACTCTGCAGACAGCTGTCATGCACTCAGGGAGGGTCAGACTGGGGAAGCCCGAAAGCCAGGCAGAGGTGTCCAGACTTGACTTGGCAGCTAATGAGGAGCGCTGGCGGTTCTTAAGCGGGGAGGGAGATGACTGAAGTCATGTCTGAGGACAACTCCACCAGCAGCCCAGGCCTAGGGCGACCTGGACGGGGAGCCAGCTAGACACGGGAGCTCTGGCCAAGGAGCTGTCATCATCTAGAAAAGAGGAACCTAGGAAAGGTAGTTACAAGAAGATGAAGGGGACTTGGTGGTTCAGACACTGGTATGGGAATGAACCTGTAGGTTGTCTTGCACTCCTCTGGCTGTGTTTCGTCTCCCCAGACTGGGGAACCTGTAGAATCATGCCTCTTTTGTACCATCCCCTGCACTGTGCTTGAAAACCACCTGCTGACAGGGGGATGCAGGTACTGTTGTGGTCAGACACTGAGGTTTGCCTGGGAAAATGGTGTTGGCATTAGGAATGACCATTTCACTTCACAAACCTGTACAGAGCAGGGAGGGGTCCCAGGGCAGATGCTGGGCCTATGGGATGGGCAGTTTTTTGGTGACAAGGCGGCAAGGCCATCGTCTCCAGTATTTCAGTCAAATACTGATCTAGACATTGCTGTGAAGGTATTTGTGGATATCATCAGTTTTTCGTTGTGTTTTTTTTTTTTTTTTAAAGTAAGTAAGATTATCCTAGATAATCTGGGCGGGCCTCATTCAATCAGTTGAAAGGTCTTAAGAGCAGAACTGAAGTTTGCCTGAAGAAGAAATTCCAGCTGTGAATGCAGCTTCAGCCTGTGCCCAAGAGAACGTGTGTGCAGAAATACGTATGTACACAGGCACGTAGATGTGCATATGTGTGTATCTGTAACACTGAGACAAAATTATTATCTGTCCCACAGTTCATATGTAAATTTCACCAACTGTTCCAACAACGTCCTACTTCATAGCTATTTCTTACCCCTGATCTGGCATCCAATCCAGGATCACTTACCACATGTTCATATCTCTTTGAGTCTTCTCTAATCGAGATCAGGTCCTCAGCTTTTTATTAATCTCATGAACTCGATTTTTTTTTCAAATTTAGATTACAGGCCAGTTATTCTGCCGAATGGCCTTGCATTTGATTTGTGTGATGGGTCCTCACAATTAGATCGAGGCTATGGAGTTTTGGCAGATACACCATAGAAATGACACCAACTCCTTCTCAGGGCATCATATCAGGAGGCACATAAGGTCAGTTTGTCTCTTGACTGGTCTTGTTAACTGACCCAGTGTTTACTGTTGTGTTCACCAGGTTAACCCACTGTAGAATTAATCATTTTCCCTTTGTAGCTAGGAAGCAATTTGTAGAGAGGTGCTTTCCGCTCATGTAAATATCCTGTTTTTCATCAAACTTCCAAATTGTAGCATCCACTGATGATTCTTGTCTCTGCCGGTTATTATTAATGGTTGCACAAGGATGATATTCTAACTCCATTATTCCTTCTATATTTACTCGTTAATATTCTTCTATGAGAGAGAGTTCTCCCTTATTTATTTATTATTTACATTAGTATGAGCTCATACATTCTTTTTTAAAAATTTTTAATTCAAGTATTGTTAACATACAGTGTTATATTAGTTTCAGGTGTACAATATAGTGATTCAACAATTCTAGACATTACTCAGTGGTCATCACAATAAGTGTGCTCTTAGTCTTCTCCACCCATTCCCCCATTCCTCCCTCCTCCCCTCCAGTAGCCATCAGACTCTACAGTTGAGTCTATAGTTGAGTTTCTTGGTTTGTCTCTCTCTCTCTCTCTCACTCACTCTTACTTTTCTTTTCCTTTGTTAGCTTTGTTTCTTGAATTGCACATATGAGTACAATCATATGGTATTTGTCTTTCTCTGATTTATTTTGCTTGGCATTATATTCTCTAGCTCCACCTATGTTGTTGCAAATGATAAATTTTCAGTCTTTTTATGGCTGAATAATATTCCTCTGTGTGTGTGTGTGTGTGTGTGTGTGTGTGTGTGTGTGTGTGTATGAGAGAGAGAGAGAGAGAGAGAGAGCTTCTTTATCTTCATCTATTGATGGATACTTGGGCTGCTTCCAAAATTTGGCTATTGTAAATAATGCTGCAGTAAACATAAGGGTGCATGTATCCATTTGAATTACTGTTTTTGTATTTTGGGGGGTAATTACCCACTAGCATGATTACTGAATCATATGGGAGTTCTATTTTTAGCTTTTTTTTTTTAAAGATATTATTTATTTATTTGACAGACAGAGATTACAAGTAGGCAGAGAGGCAGGCAGAGAGAGAGGAGGAAGCAGGCCCTCTGCTGAGCAGAGAGCCCGATGTAGGGCTCGATCCCAGGACTCTGAGATCATGACCCGAGCTGAAGGCAGAGGCTTTAACCCACTGAGCCACCCAGGCGCCCCGCTATTTTTAGCTTTTTGAGGAACCTCCGTACTATTTTCTATACTGGCTGAACCAGTTACATTCCCACAACTAGTGCACAAATGCTTCTTTTTCTCCACATCCTCACCAACACTTGTTACTTCTTATGTTGTTGATTCTAGCCATCCTGACAGGCATGAGGCGATATCTCATTGCAGTTTTGATTTCCCTGATGATGAGTAACGTTGAGCATCTTTTCATGTGTCTGTTGATCTGTATGTCTTCTTTGGAGGAAATTTGTGTCTTCTGCCCATTTTAAATTGGATTATTTATTTTTGGGGTGTTGAGTTGTGTTAGTTCTTTATATATTCTGGATGCTATGAGTTCCTAGATTCTTATTTTATTCAAAGAATGTACTATGGGAATGTAACTACTGTTATTTAATGTTCAGATTGCCCCAGATTTGACCAGTGGGATCCTCTTCTGATTCCTCTGTCCTTTTGACATCTTGCTACTATCTTTTTAGCACCTCCTTAATTTCTGGAACAACATGATATCTAGGTTCATCTTGTATGTTCTCTCTCTGAGCCCTGAAACCAGCCATTTCTCCAAGGAGTCCTGGTTCCTTTTACTGATGAAAGGTATTTAGAAACCAAGAGCTAGCTGCCAGGTGTGCTCAGTGCTACTGAGTGTCTACTTCTAAGACTTTTAGCAGACAGAACTAAGAAATATGAGTTGATATTGATATCTTATTACTATATCTGTACACACATACAACCATGAACTCATATAGATATCTCCCATTCTAATTCATTACCATAAGATTGATTTTAGTGTTCCTTCTCTTTATCTTTGTAACTCTCTTCTCCAACAGAAAGAATAGGCTCCCATTAACCTCAATATATTTATTCAATTGCTCAATTCCATAGCACACTAAAAACTTTTAGGATTGCTAACCCATACCACTATAGGAAAAAGTCCTTCAACTACAATTCAATATTCATTGGTTTTTGTTTGTTTGTTTACTCTCCCTTCAGTGTGGTAGTATTATTTATCTGAAATAGAGTTAGGTTCATTCACTTCTATTTATGTCCCATTTTTAGGTGGTTTTGAGGGTTTTTTTTCCCTTCTCCTCATCCTTGTTCATTATTTTTTAAGAGGAGAAGTATTCCTTACCTAGGGCCTGTGGGTTTGTGGATGGATTTGATGGGGTCGGTAAACCCCCTGCAATTTAATGCAAACTATTAGATATGTGTGTACCTTTCCTGGGGAGAAAATCCACAGCTTTCAAAATATTCTTAAAGTGAACTTTAACCTAAAATGTTTAGGGAGCAGGAGAAGAGAGCAGAAATCCAGGGGCAGGCCCTCTTTAGAAGTCTCTTACCAGTGGGGGAGAAAGTTTCACCAGCTTATAAGATTCTCCAAAGAAGACAAGTTTCTATTTATCTTGTATCTACGCCAAGTGCCAAGGACACACACAAATGCCAAGTGAAGAGACACCAAAGGAGGGAAGAGAAATTTGGGAGCAAACCTGCACATGGAGCTCACAACTGCTCTTTGCCAAGAAGGCCTAGAACCAAACCAGAGTACAGAGAGGTAGGTTGGAGGAAGGGGAACCTAGCATGAGCATTTATCTATAGGTATACACAGAAAACTAAACCAGGAGAAAATTCTCAGCATGCTGAAGAGACATTGACCCAAGGCTCTGACACACTCCTTGCATAGGTGGTTTCAAGGTCCATGGGTGGTTTCAAGGTGGTTTCAAGGTCCCTGCTAAATTAGAGAACAAGAGCAATTATACCTGTGTAGGATAGCAGTGAGTCAGGCAGGGTTTACCATTTGCAGGCATGAGTTGAAAGCTTTCCCTGGGTGTGGTGGGAGGCAGGAACTCTCCTTGGCATCTGACATAGATGTTTCATATAAGGGTGGCATTGCTCCTCAAGGAACTTCTGCTGCTAAAGAGGGACCTTCTCTCGCTCTCTCTCTTCCTTGCTCCCTCTCTCTCCCCAAATGAATAAATAAAATCTTAAAAAATAAAGGGGGGAGGGGCGCCTGGGTGGCTCAGATGGTTATGTGTCTGCCTTTGGCTCAGATCATGATCTCAGGGTCCTGTGATAGGGCCCTGCATCAGGCTCGCTGCTTAGCGGAGAGTCTGCTTCTCCCTCTACCTCTGCCTCTTCCCCTGTTTGTGCTCTCTCTGTCTCTCACTCTCTTTCTCAAATGAATAAATAAAATCTTTAAAAAAAAAAAAGAGCGGTCTAGAATGGAGATAATGAGGTGCAAGCCTCATGGTCAAGGACAACCTCCTCAGATGTGTCAAGGACAACCCACTAAGGGCCAGCCAGGAATCCAGAAGAAACCATAAACCTAGTCTGTGCCACGTGGCTCAAAGCTTGTCTAGAAAGTCATGGGCAGGCCACAGCAAAATCATAGAACACAAACTGAGCCCATACACGCTGAGTGATCTGTGGGGTGGGTAAACCAGGGGAAGTCTCCTAAAGGAAAGAGCTGATACACGCTGTGAAAGGGCTGAAACTGAGGAAAGATAAGAGAAGAGACGAGGGTGTTCCACTTGGCAGTGACAGCTCAACAATAAGCAGAGGTTTGGGGCAGAGATGGTTGATCCTCCAGCAGAGAAGGGGGTTTGCATCAAAGACCGATCTGGAGGGTGCTGAGGTCACATGCCCATAAAAGACACTGCTCCTCAAGAGGAATAATGTGATGGTTATGATGTTTGAGGGAGAGACTGTGTGGGGCTGAACTGGGGAGTTGCAAATGCAAGGAGAACAGCAGGGGTGTTACTAAGATCACCGGGATGGGAAGTATCTGCCTGGGCCGGAACAGGTGGCAGTGTAAACACAGATACATATACACAGATAATAAAAATGAAAATCACCACTCACATTTTATATGGCTCTGTGGACTAAGATCACATGTGCCCATATAGAATTCTATGAGCAACACTGAGAATTATTTATAATGCTTTACTGAGCAGCTATTATGTGCTGGTCATTGAGTTAACTGCTTGGCTGAGTCTCACAACCACCGCATGAGGGAAACCACGTACTTTCTACCACTCAATATCACATGCTGTAAATTTGCTCAAATGTGAATCTCATAAGAACCCTGTCTGTTCGGTGCATCAGGAATTATCCCCACTTTATAGTAGAAAAAACAAACACTAGAGAAGGTGAAGGCCCTCACTCGCAGCCACTCAGCCAAGGGCTATCCGCCAACACTCGGGACTCTTATTTTGGGGATCCCTACACCTTACTTTCTCCCTCGGTTCACGTACAAGGTATTAACAGAGCCCTCCAGGGTCAAATGTCACTTTGGCCTAGATCTACAGCCCACTTCATCTAAACACACCAAATTCCTGGCATTGGTTCACCAAAGGTCAGTAATGCGACTCACTCAAGGGTCACTCAGCTGAGTCTAGCCTGCCTGGACAAAGAACCCAAGGAATGGAAGTAGAGGTGAAGGCAAGGTGACCTAAAAGATGAGGTCACCTCCCCATCTTTTAGAAGACATAACCACTCCAGTCCCCTGCTCCTGACTCAGAAAAGTGGGGGAAGACACACATTCCATCTGCATTACATCAGGTTGCACAAGACAGAGGGAGGGCAAGCTCTCAAGGTCACCATTATGTCTTCATGCCAGGGTTGGGTCTTAGGAAAGCAAGCAAAATGCTGGCGGTTGCTTGGAACTAGAGCAAGCAAGGAGGAAATCCCTGGGGAGACACTTGCCTAGGGCTTGTTCTGCAGATGTTCCCTCCGGCCCCTCGGAATCTACCCCCACTCTCAGTGCCTCCTGCCATTAGCCAATTGTAGCCACATGCACACCCTACTCTTCCATTTGAGATGCTCTCCCCCTTTCCCTTCAAATCCTCTTTTCCGGGCCCATGAGCTACTTGTTTCAGTTTTTCTACGCCGCACAATGACACGGGTTATTATGAACCAAGAGGGTTGCTGCTGGGCTCACCTTGGGAACAGGTGAGCATAAGGTATGTTTTACATCTGGCCATATCCTCAGATCTCTGCTCTATCACTTGCCCGGCTCACCTGATTCTAAGACTGCTTTCCACAAGTCACAGAAATGACTACAACATGGCACCGAGGTGGGGTGAGTACCAGGCCCACGTGGAGCTCCAGAGAGGGCTGAGGGGATACCCCATGGGCAGGAGCTGGAAGACAACCAGAGCCAGGTGGGAAGCAAATGGGCTGCTTTTTAGCTCCAGGCAAAGATCAGGCACTGTATCTGTCCTTATCAAGCTAGTGGCTGGACATGTTTTCCATCTGAGAATGAGACTAAAACAGGCCCTGGAGCAAGGAGTTCAATTCGGAGATTTAGCTTGCTGGCCTGTCTGGTAGGTGTTCCAAGACAATGGCTGTGTCCCTCCTGGGGGCACCGCAGATCCCCTGGCAAGAGCTGTAGAAGAATATGAAAGTCTTCGTGCAGCATTTTCTTACGCTAAAGCTCCCATTCCACAAAATGCATTGAGCACTTACTATATGCCGGGCATCTGGAACGTGGGCACTGTCGATGAGCAATGTATAACTTTGCACTTACTATACTCGAGGCCCTATTCATTCTCATGGCAGCCCCATGGGTTGTCTATAAAAATGCCTCCACTTCACAGATGAGGAAACCAAGGCTCAGAAAGATAAGAAACACGCCTGAACTCACACAGCAAGTACGTGACAGAAGCAGGATTCCAACCCACGCTTTCCAAGGCTGTGTGGCTCACCACCACCCCACAGGATCCCGGAGAAGTCAGGGCCACTCCTGCCCCCGGAAGCCATGTCCCTGGGGGAAGAGAGAATATAAACAGATCATGAAATGTAAGATGCTCCTGGCTCTAATGGAAGCATGAAGAAAGTACTCTCTTTTTCTTTTAGCCTATTCCTGTGATAGTGCGTGAGGGTAGGACCCCAGGACCAGTAGAATGTCAGGTGTAATTCTTGTCTTTCTGCAACTGCTCACCTCTTTGTTCATTGTCAGAGAGTCAAGAGGCCAGCGAGAAATGGCCGCTTTGGAGGGTTCATCTATTCCCATTTATAGGCTGGGACTGTCACATCCCTTGTCATGCTTAAACCCCACTCTGTGGCCCTTGCCGTTCCCTCAGCATTGAATGTGCTTCCCCAGATACCCCCCGACTCGCTCGCTCGCGTCTCCTGGCCTCTGCTCCAGTCTCCCCTCCCAGGAGAGGTCCTCCTCTAACTCCTTGTCTGAAATAGCTTTCTGGGGAGCCTGGCTGGCGCAGTTAGTAGCGCACGCACCTCTTGATGTTGGGGTTGTGAGTTTGAGCCCCATGCTGGGGGTAGAGATGACAAAGATTGAAAGATAATAAATTGAAATGAAATGGAATGGAATAAAATAAAATAGCTCCCTCGACACCTTTATGCCTTCTACTTAGCTTTCTGTCTCTTAGTGAACTCAGCAGTCTGAAGTTTGATTTTACACTTACCTGTTTGTTGTCTCTCTCCCCAGATGAAGACTGGGCCCACTTCTGTTTCGGTTACTGCTCTCCCCGCAGCACCTAAAACGGGATCTGGAACACAACAGATAATAAATAATTGGTTGAGCAAGTGAATCAATTTGAACCTTACAACAATCCTTCAAGAAAAATCATCCTTGACAACATGAACCTCATTGCCATTTTTAAAAATAAGGGACCTGGGGTGCCTGGGGTGGCTCAGTGGGTTAAAGCCTCTACCTTCAGCTCAGGTCATGATCCCGGGGTCCTGGAATCGAGCCCCGCATCGGGCTCTCTGCTCAGCAGGGAGCCTGGTTCCCTTCCTCTCTCTCTCTGCCTGCCTCTCTGCCTACTTGTGATCTCTGTCAAATAAATAAAATTAAAAAAAAAAAATCTTTAAGTTAAAAAAAAAAAGGGGACCAAGCATATAAAAGTTATCTGGCCAGTCCAGTCACACAGGGCCTGCCCTTGGGACTGGATGTGTGCCCGGGCCCCTCTCCTTCCCACACCGCCCTCCCAACCCCACACTGCTCTCTTCTCTTCCCCTGACTCAGTCCATTGTTCTGTGGTCCAGGGTCTGTTTGTTGTTTATAGAAAGGAAAGAAACCCAACACCACCCAGGAGCGCCATTTACCAACCCCAGGCAGGTGGAGTGGCATCCTCCAAGAAGCACGGCACGGTCTCAGGGTCACCTCCTCCCTTCTCTCTGCCACCAAGCATCCAGGGCAGCGTGGTGGGCCAGGTTCAGGTCACCCTCCAGACAGCAAGAGTGGCTCAGCCTCCCCAGTGTTGCAAGGGACACTCGCCTCTCTCTCTCCCTCCTGGCCTTCCTCCAGGAGCCCCACAGCGGGGCACCCACCCTCCTGTCTCAACAGGCCCCAGGGGGAGTAAAAGAATCCATCTCACCAATGTATGGACATCTGCCTGCAAGGCTTCTCCCAGCATTGCAAAGGTGGAAATGCAGGGAAAGACACACTTTGGGGTTCCTTGTATGAGGCAGAGGCCACGTGAGGGAGGAGAAGTGAGGGCAAGACCACAGGCTCGTGCATGAACTGGTAGCAGGGGTCCAGAGCTCACTCAAACAAATGAGCAAACACAGGGTCTCAGGGAGCAAAGAAATGGGAAAATCAGCTGGCGGATCTGGGTTTGTGTCACAGCCCACCTCTGATAAGCTATGCAGTGTGACACAAGGGAAGTTACTTCCTTTGCAAATGGGGATAATTAAATAATAGTACTTTTATGCAGTAAGTACAAAACCCACTAAGAAATCTGTGAAGGCATCTTGGAAACTCTCAAGTATCTATAAACACAGAGATGTGTTAAATGTATATTTTTTCTGATTAAAAATGATTCATTATATTGGGGCACCTGGGTGGCTCAGTCGGTTGAGCATCTGCCTTCTGCTTAGGTCATGATCCCAGGGTCCTGGGATCAAGCCCCGCATCGGGCTCCCTGCTCTGCGGGAAGCCTGCTTCTCCCTCTCCCACCCCTTCTGCTTGTGTTCCCTCTCTCGCTGTGTCTCTCTCTGTCAAATAAATAAAGAAAATCTTAAAAAAAAAAAAGACTCATTATAGAAACATAACCAATACAATCAACACATAAAAAGTATAAAGAAAATAAAAATCACCTGTAATTCCACTACTCATAATCACTGTTATCATTTCATGTATCTCTTGCCATCTCTTTTCAAAAACCCATGTATGCAAATACATATGATATACACCCGCGTCCCCTCACCACAAGACTGGACTGCACAGGCTGCGCGCCCAGGAATTTTCATCATTAATTTCATTAGAGCAGTAATCGCAGTCCACACTGGAATTTTATCATTGTTCTGGCTAAGAAGTGTTAGAAACTTATTGCTAATAATTCCTCAGTCCTTTCGTTTAATAAATACACAGTTAGTTCTCTGCAACATGGTACACTGGGGAAACCATTATTACACTAGGAATCAGGAGATCTGAAATCTTCCTCTGAGGGTGCCCATGAAGAACGGTGTATGCTCTGGCAAGAAGGCTCTGTGCCTCAGTTTCCCCGTCAGTTAAAGGAAGGTGAAAATCTATGCCCTGAAGGTGAGATGAGAGCATGCAGGGGAAGGTACACAAAGCACCCCTCTGTGGGAGGTCCTGTTCCTGTCCTCCCCCTCCCCAACACGCGTGAGTACATCCAGGGAGCCCGTGCACTTGAATTCATCCCTGTCCCGTTTAACAAGTGCTGGCAACTCAGGGAGCAAAGGCGACCTTGAGTCCGCTTGTCTCTAAGAGGCTAAAGTGCCATTCCCTTTGCCTCGAGCACTTAACCAACAAGTCGTCCCCAGAGCTAGAGCATGCCCTGAAGCGGCTGGCCCAGGAGGTGAGGAATACTGTCCCAGTCCCTTGAGGAGTCAGAGTCTCATCCTCTCTCAGACCACTGGGTCCTGTTTTCTCAAAGTGAGCTCTCCAAATGGCTTGCTTCATAGGGTCCCAGGCCAAAGTCAAAGTCTTTGAGGGCAGGGCTCAGGAATCTGCATTTTTAATAGCTGTCTCACCCCCATCCTGGCAAAGACTTAAAACCACCCACCACCACCACCACCACAACTGAGATGCGCTCATAAAGTCTGAGAACTGACCTGTTAACAGCTCATTTGGGAAGACTGACGATCAAGGTTACAAAGCCATGAGTGGCCAAGCTGGAGCCAAAGGACCAGAACTCACATTTCTTCCTCAATCTTTCTCTGCTTCTTTCTCCTACTTTCTGTCGTCCTTCCCTCCTTGCCCTCCTCCCTTCCTTATTTTCTCTTTTTATTCCAAGAAAATAGACTTTTCTCATCACATACAGTTTGGCACTGGGATTCCCATTTACTGGGCAGTGCTGCTCCACACGGTTATAGAATTCAGATTTCTTGTTTGTATTTAAATAATGTTCTAGGGTTGTTTTTTTTCCTTTTAAAGTCATAATTCTTTTTTTAAATTTTTTAAATAATTTTTTAATTTTTTTATAAACATATAATGTATTATTGGCCCCAGGGGTATAGGTCTTTGAATGGCCAGGTGTACACACTTCACAGCACTCACCATAGCACATACCGTCCCCAGTGTCCATAACCCACCCACCCTCTCCCTGCCCCCCTCCCCCCGGCCAACCTCAGTTTGTTTTGTGAGATTAAGAAAAGTCATAATTCTTTTTAAAGTCAGTAACCAGGAGGGGCACCTGGGTGGCTCAGTGGGTTAAAGCCTCTTGCTTTCGGCTCAGGTCATGATCCCGGGGTCCTGGGATTGAGCCCCGCATCGGACTCTCTGCTCCGCGGAGAGCCTGCTTCCTCCTCTTTCTCCCTGCCTGCCTCTCTTGCCTACTTGTGACCTCTGTCAAATGAATAAATAAAATCTTAAAAAAAAAAAAGATTTAAAGTCAGTAACCAGGAAAGACGTCCTGACGCATTGTAACGAATCACCATAATTCTTCCTCTGCCGGTGGGAGCTAGAACATGGGAAGAAGGAAAACAAGTGGTGTGGGAATAAGCGAAAGTTTCATTAGTTCACGTGTGAATACATTCATTTATTCACCAAATGTCACTAAACACCTAGTAGGTGATTGGTGCTGGGAATTCAACAGCCTTCCTTCTAAGTCAGCTCATGACACAGCACTGCTGACTGAAAAATGAAACTGGATGTCTCAGTGAACAAGCCCTGGGCCAAAAAGGGCCAGGGGCAGCTGTTGGGGGGTGGGGGGGGCTACAGAGAGAAGACGGTCCCAAGCCCACCTTTGTTCTCTCAAATGACCATCTCTCTCTTTTTTCTCTCTCTCTCTCTCTCTCTTTCTCTTTTTTGTTAATTTTGGTACAGAGTTTTAAAATTTATATTATTTCATTTATTTATTGTGTTCAGTTAGCCAGCATATATAGTACACCATAAGTTTTTGTTGTATTGTTTAACGATTCTTTTTTTTTTTTTTAAGATTTTATTTATTTGACAGAGAAAGAGTCAACCAGAGAGGGAACACAAGCAGGGGGAGTGGGAGAGGGAGAAGCAAGCTTTCCGATAAGTGGGGAGCCCGATGTGGGGTTCGATCCCAGGACCCTGGGATCATGACCTGAGCTGAAGGCAGATGCTTAACGACTGAGCCACCCAGGCCCCCTTGTTTAGTTGCATATAACACCCAGTGCTCCATCTCTCTCGGTTTCCCTCTTTTGGGAGGGGCAGAATGTATGCTGCAAGAGTCACATACGGTGTTTTTACTCGCAAATTGGCCACATCCTCGGCTCGAGAACAGAATCCAGGGTGGGGAAGGAAGGGGACTTCCGCCCTCCCAGAGCATCAGCGCCTGGCATGCTGGGAACGCCAGGGAGGCAATCCGTGGCATCCCTGGACAGACCGACAGGCTTAGCTGACCACGCAGAGCCAATAAACATCATCTCCCTGGATTTTCATAAAGTTTTGAATGGGTTCTCACACTTAAGTAGTCCTTGAGAAACTTAGAAAAGATGGCTGAGTATAAAAGTTTCATAAGCAGGATGTTGGGGAGATTAAGGGTGCTGTTTAGCACCCTCCAAAATCATTTTTGCCATTAATTTGCTCTGCCCCACATGGTCTCCTAGTCAACCTTGTCTTCTTCCTTCTCTCTCTCTCTCTAATCTCAGTGGCCCTTTAGAACTGTACGTCATCTTCCACAGACCCATGCCACTTTGCACAGGGCTGTACCCTGGGACTTGCACAAAGCTGGGGTCAAGGGAGGTATAGCAGAATGATCTCAGCACACAAAGGCCACTTTATGTTCCAGCCTTAAACACTGAAGACATAAAACCATTCTTAAATATGTGCTGGCTGAGTATATGGAGGATAAAACATCCTTTTGAAGATAAACTTGCTTTTGTACAATCAGGTCATTATGTACTGTCACAAAAGCATGGTCCTGGCAGAGGGGAAAGCACTGTGAAGGCAGATAAAGGAGGCAAAATTGCCTGGGGCTGGGAGGGGGGGGTCAAAACATCAGGGTGGCAGTGGCCCAGAGGCATGAGGTGACTGAGGCTGAGGAAACCGCTCAGAGCTCTGTCTCCCTCCACGGACAGTCACCCCTTAAACTGACAGCTACGCACCTGC